TCTCATTCAGCTGAATATCACCAAGCAGTTTGTGGTGGAGGTTGACGCCTCTAAACCAGGTGTTGGAGCCGTCCTATCCCCGATTTCAGACGCTGATAACAAGTTACACCCATGTACTTTCTTCTCTCGCATACTTACCCCAGCAGAGAGAAACTATGACGTTGGAGACCGAGAGCTTTTAGCCATTAAGCTAGCTCTTGAGGAGCAGAGACACTGGTTGGAAGGAGCTGCACACCCCGTTCTGGTATGGACAGACCATAAGAATCTGTCATACATTCAGTCCGCCAAGAGACTTAACCCACGCCAATCTTGTTGGTCTCTGTTTTTCTCCCGGTTTACCCTCTCCATTTCATTTCGCCCTGGCTCTCGAAACGTAAAACCGGATGCTCTCTCTAGGCAGTTTTCCCCAAAGGAGTAGTCTGCTGCTCCCAATCTGCCTCCCAGCTGCTCAGTAGCTGCAGTCACTTGGGAGATTGAGGACCTTGTCAAGCAGGCCCAACAGTCTGGTACCGGAGCCCCCAGTTTTTGCACCTTTATCCATTCGTGCTCGAGTAATTAGCTGGCTCCACACTTCCAAGTTCTCTGCCCATCCAGCTATCAGTTGAACTGTGGCCCTCATTAGTCGACGTTTTTGGTGCCCCTCTTTGCTGAAGGACGTTCAGGAGTTTGTTTTGGCCTGCCCGACCTGCACTCGGAACAAGTCTTCTCATCAGCCCCCTACCGGATTGCCTCAACCCTTGCCCATTCCCAAGAGATCCTGGTCCCACATTGCTATAGACTTCATCACTGGAATTCCCACCTCTACAGGTATGACCACCATTCTCACCATTATTGACTGTTTTTCTAAGGCCTGCCATTTAGTTTTACTGAGGAAGCTCCTTAAAGCTTTTCAAGCAGCGCAACTCCTGGTCAAGAACGCCTTCATGGAATTCCTCAAGATATACTCTCTGATCGAGGCCCTCAATTCATCTCACAGGTATGAAAAGGTTTTTGTTCGGCCTTTGGCACCAAGGTCTCACTCAATTCTGGCTATCATCCCCAGTCTAATGGTCAAGTTGAACGTATGAATCAGGAGTTGGAGGCCAGCCTCAGATGTCTTTCCGCTTCCAACCCCACTAAGTGATGCCAGTATCTCCCATGGGTTGAGTACGCCCACAAAGCCCATGTTTCTGCTGCCACAGGACTCTCCCCTTTCAAGGCCTCTATTGGCTATCAGCCTCCCCTTTTCCCTGCTGAGGAGGCTGCCATTGCAGTGCCATCCATTCAGCATCACATCCGCCATTGCAGAGCTATCTGGAACCGAGCCATGAAAGCCCTTAGTAGATCTGCTGAACAGAACCATACGAGGGCCGACCACAAGAGGAGGGTCACCCCTACGTTCTCCCCGGGCCAGAAGGTCTGGCTCTCTATCCGGGACATCCCTCTCAAAGCTATGTCCAAGAAGATGTCTCCACGCTTCATTGGTACTTATGAGGTGGAGAGGACCATTGGAGCATCTTGGATGAATCTTGTGGTCTGAATCAGAAACCTGAGAGAGTACGGCTCCAACTCAAGAATTGGAAGCGTCCACTTCTAGAATTAACTGTTTGGTGAGGTCAGGTTGAATGAGTACAGATTCTGTGCTCTGAAAGGTGGTTAGAAAAAATCAGCATGTCATCAATATAGACAAAAACGAAAACATTAAAGATGTCTCTCAGGACGTCTGGATTCAAACTGGATTCCTAACACTTCAGCTACTGGTTTGTCCCCTTTTGAGGTCTCGTTGGTGCGCCTCAGGTGTGTCGAAGGCTCAGCTCAGGAGGATCCATGGCGGACTCTGCTGGAGGAAGATGGAACTTCTCCAGCTCCCAACAGTTGGGGTATCAGCCTCCCCTGTTCCTGGCAGAGGAGAAAGACATTGCTGTTTAGTCTGTCCAGCACCATATTCGCTGCAGCAAGGCAGTCTGGGACACGGCTTCAGCGTCTCTCAGTGTTAGGATTCCAGTTTGTGTGGGTTGTTTTTATGTTTTCTTTTCTCCACCACTAGATGGTGCCCTGTCCTCTCCTTGCACACCTGCGGTTTGTTGGGTCATTACCAGAGGACTATTTGAGCACCGGGCTGTCACTACCTCGACGCCAGAGTGTTTGCCAGTATTGGGTACTCTAGCCAAACTGAGATTAGCACAGTCTAACCTTAGCCTTGTTTCTCTGAGTCTAAGCTTGCATAGTCTTTTGTTCTTCGGCAGGAACCTTCCTGAACCACTGGATAAGCCTGGACCTTCTACCCCCCTAGAAGGATAAACTGAGTCGAACTGAGCAAGGCGAAACCTCCACAAGATCCGTTCAAGTCCACTTCTGGAAAACCAGGTGACAGTGCGCTCCTTTACTCCTCTGGGTCTGCCTGTCCACTCTCCAGCAAGTTCCTTCCTCTCTGGATTAAACCTCCCAAACTGGATCTAAGGTGTTAGGTTTATTATTTATACATCATGTGTATTGTTATTTTGTTAGTCAGATTAGACAGAGTAGAAGGCCTTCCTTCACATTTAGGATGTCACGGTGTGTACGGAGGTCATCTAATCAAGACAGCCTTCGTGTCTTTAAGAGTACACAGGATATGGGCACATCTTGGAGCCGGTCTGATAGAGGATGGCTATCTGTAACCCTGAGGCATAGAAGCAAGCTGTATACGGCTCAGGGCATTGTTGCCGTGTCAGTTTCTGATACGGACAGCTAAGCATCCACCTGATGCAACACATTTTCTACTGAAATGTGACGTATAGATAAACTTGTTCTGCCTCGTCTGACCAGAACCTGCACAACCGGTTCCTCCTCATGTCGTCACTGAATGTTTCTCTAAAAACAGGATCAGACTGAAGTAAAGGTCAGGATTTGATGATCACCTGGCTGACAGTAGCAGGATAACAGGAAGATCCCCCTGTCTAGATAATATTTCTAGATTGTTCCTGCTTTGTTCCCTTTTCTTGGTTCCCTCCTTCCTGTTTCCTCTTCATCATGGTAATGTCACCATCTGCACTATCAGGAGTCTCTGTGTTCCTGGGCTGCATTAGATCTGCTGCTGTTTTCTATGTGTTGTTAGTGATTATTTTCTGTGTTCCAGGATTTATCCAGTACCTTCCCTCAGTGTCTCAGCTCCCTGCTCTACCCAGCTCTCTCATTTCCTCAATAACTCACCTGTCATTTCAGTTTCCAGGTTGTCCAGCTTACATCATTCTCTGTGTTCTCAGTCAGATCCTAACTCTATTAAATCCTGTTTCCATGTTTTTCTATTTTCCATCTTCTTCCTAGCTTCTGTAGTTTTCTATTGTCCTCTTTCCTGTCTCCCTCCCTCCACCTTTTTAATTTGGGTTCTTCACTACAGCATTTTATAACCTAACATGTATTTTCAGCACCAAATGCTCACTGGCTGCATTCCTGATACTGTGGCTGAGTCTTTATCAGCTCTTCAACTTCAACCATTTTGTTTGCCAGAGATCTCATGTTCCCCAGTATGATTGATGGAGGAGATGGTTGAACTTCCTACTTCTCTCTTTCCACTTCAGTCCTGCTCTGCATCCACAGTGTCTCCTGTTTATCTCGTCTCTACAGAAGATTGAATACAAACAGTCAGGTTTACTGAGAATAGAATCAGCTTCCTGCTCTACAGGACAGATCAGATAGCAGCTAACTGGGAACACTGGGACTAAACCACATGTTACCCGAGTCTCTGTTTTCCTCTCAGAATGACTTCATGTCTACAGAGACCATCAGTTATAGTTATGAACACAGAGGAAAACAGACCAGAGTCTCCATCCTCCAGCTGCCCCAAAGATCTTCATATAGACTTCAGTAATGATCCTGGAGCAGCAGATCCAGGGTGAGTCATCTGTTACTAGCTGCTATAATCATGATTAAAAATAATCAACCTCTGATAGATGGAAAGTAAGTTAGACTGAACTTTAAGCTGAGAAGTTCAGCTGCAGAAAAGAAGCTTCAGGATGTCCAACCAGCTCCAGAAAGGTTCTGTGATGAGAGGGAAGTTGCTGCATCATGCTGCCTCCAGTGCAGAGCTTTGTGTCATTTCTAAGAAGAGATGAGTTCATTTTCCTCCTTTTCTCACTGTGTTGGTAGAGAACAAATGAAATAAACTAAACTAGTTTTGTTTTAAATTATAATCTCAGACACGATGATATAAACTTAACTGAACCTCAGTCCTTGATGAGCAGCTGAATATTTTAGAGCTCTGATATTTACAGCATTAAAGCTGCAAATAGCATTAAAATGAAACTAGAACTAGAACCATAATCAACATGTAAATGAAAAACCTCCTAAAGGGGCAATAGATGGAGAATGTCCTGCTTCCCAGAATCTGATCCATCATCTGCAGTGTTTTCCAGCCTCCTGTCTTCATCCATGTCTCTATCAGGGTTTTTCTATAACCTAACTGGGCTCCAGATGGACAAATTGTATTGTCTGTTTTCCTGCTTTGTTGCAGCTGTTACATCAGGTCTTTATCAATATAGATTCAAATCAATATAGATCATATTATATGATCCAGTTTCATAGAAGTAATCATTAAATTGAGCAAAAGACCAGGAACTCCTTAAAATACAATTTAAATTTAACTCCTTAAATTTAGTATTTTACGGGATCTAATAACAAAAATAAATAAATTCATATAAGTCAAAACAATAAAGACTAAAGGAAATTACTGAACAACAGCTAAGAGAAAAACAGAAGGAAATCTAAAATGTAACCACGAATATTATCCATAAAGTCAGAACTCCTCCCTGTGAGTCAAAAGTGAAAGCTCTTGTTCTGTTGTCATGGTTACTGTCCCTCCCCTTAACTCCTCTTACCTGCCCAGCCTCCATCTCAGGTGAAGTTCGGACTGCAGATAAACTGGTTCTACTGGTTCTCCTTCTCTGCCTCCATCTCAGGTGAAGTTCTGACTGCAGGTAAACTGGTTCTACTGGTTCTCCTTCTCTGCCTCCATCTCAGGTGAAGTTCTGACTGCAGGTAAACTGGTTCTACTGGTTCTCCTTTTCTGCCTCCATCTCAGGTGAAGTTCTGACTGCAGGTAAACTGGTTCTACTGGTTCTCCTTTTCTGCCTCCATCTCAGTCTGTTTTCTCCAGACCTTCGTCTGTTCTCTGCTTTGCCTAAAGACACCGTAAGTTTAAGTATTTAACTTTGTTTCATAGTAAAAGTTGAAGTTTAATCGTTTAACAGTCTGTTTCTGCTTTCTGTGGCTTTTTAAAAAAACTTTCTGATTTTATTCCAGACCAAAGTTTTAATTTTACTGTAAATGAAGGAAAATCTCCAGGATTACTAGATTATTTTCTGAAACAGTCAACATGAGGAGCAGATGATGTTTGTTCTTCACTTTAAAAATTGATTCTTTTTCAGGTCTTTGGATCAAACTTTCATTTTCTCCTTTAATGTTAACTGACAAGCAGAGCAGCTGCTTCCTGTCGAGCCTTTCATAATAAAATCATCAATATTATTAAATATTAATTTTATAAAAACATACATTGTTTTTGAAGCTTTAATAGAGCATAAAATCCATCTGTTTAGTTTGATGGTTTAGAAACACATTAGGGCCAGATGTTCAAAGTTTCTAATGCACAAAGAAGTATTTTTTACGGCACTAGTAGCTTGTTTTTTGTACATTAGGCTGACAGGAAAGGGGTTAGGAGAGAGGGGGGCAGGCATGTGGCAAAAAACCACAGGCCGGATTCAAGGCCCCTTCAAGGACTAAGGCCTCCGTGGGTCGTTGCAGGTCGTTGGCCCTAACACTGCACGACCATAGCACGCCCATAATGCAGGAAGAAGTTTGACTGAATAATATTTAATATCTTAGAGTGTTGGAGTCTGAAATTCATTCACTTTAATTCCAAACTATAATGATTTAATTCATTTAAAAATGGTTTAATTTCTGACAAATTTCCTCAGTCCTTCGTTTTAGTTTTTACTGTTAGATATACTTTAGTATCACATCTATATTTCTGTAATATATGGTAAACAGCTACTGTATCCTACAGGTGGGAATCAGTGAATGTTAATGTAGCTTCATCCTGTGTTCTTGGCTGCAGCTGCAGGTGTGTGAGCTAATGTGAAGTGAGCAGCATGGATCAGTGTGAGGACAGAGAGGACAGAGTCCCTCCCTCTAAAACCACTCTGTGTGGAGAACATGAGGACCAGAGCAAAGCTCAGAGGTCAGATCACCATCTCTAATTGTCCAGGACTCTTCTTCATGTCAGAGCTCAGCAAGAACATCACCAAACCATCTTTATCCACAGGAAACTAACAGAACCAGAACCTGGACCAGAACCAGAACCTGGACCAGAAC